TTCTTTTCTTTAATCCATTCATTCTTTATCAATGTGTTGTTTAATTTCCACTTACTTGTGAATTTTCCAATTTTTCTTCTGCTATTGATTTCTAATTTTATTACATTGTGATCAGAGAATATCCTTTGTATGATTTCAACCTTTTTGAATATGTTGAGCCTTATTTTGTGGCTTAGCATATAATCTATTCTGGGGAGCATTCCCTGTGCTTGAGAAGCATGTGTCATAGTGTGTATCTGAGCTGGGAAGGGTTTGCTGCAGGTTATAAGAGAGGAGGGGAGGCTCAGTACAGGTGTGTTGGAAAGAGCTCCCATTCTCCACGTTCTTGGGGAGGAAGCACACCCCAAAGGCCCCCAAAGACCCCCATGGCATTCCCACCTCCCTGGAACTTTTCCTATCAACATGAGTATCTGGCCTGCAGAGGGGCCACTGCTGTGTTTGACATGTCCTACTTTGGGAAGTTCTACCTGGTGGGGCTGGATGCAAGGAAGGTTGCTGACTGGCTCTTCTCCGCAGATGTCGGCTGACTCCCAGGTATGGAGCCTCAGGTTGGTGGGCATGTTCCTGTCACTCCATGGGCACAGCCTCAGGCACTGAGACGAGCTGTCAAGCCACCCTATCCCCTCGGGCACTCTGAGCACACTGCTTCTTGCCCTCACCTGGCCTTGGGCCCCTCTGTCTGGCTCCCTTTGCCCCATCACAGGCCCCAGGCCCTCATTACTTTCTTCCACCTCTCCCTTCCGCCTTCCTTCTCCTCCCCACCTCTGCCTTCCTCGCTACTCTATTCCAGAAAGGATGTGTGACAGCTGGCCCTCAGCCTCCTCTCTCCTGGGACTGGAGGGCACAGTTTCCCCCATGCTCTCACAGGTGGGATTGCCAAAATTAATTAGAAACACAGGATGCTCAGCTACTTTTGAAGTTTGGATACATGACTCATTTTTAACATAAGTATGTCCCAAGCCATATTTGGGACATACTTGGGATCTTCATCTACAATTTTGTCACCCACACAAAAGCTTAAGCATCTGCATCTTCATGAGTGTCCAGGGCTGCCAGAACACAGGATCACAAACCCAATGGCTTAAAACAACAGAAATTTATTGTCACAGTTCTGGAAGCTGGAGGTCAAAATGAGGGTGTATGCATCTGACACTCTGTAGACGGCCCTTCCTTGCTCTTCCAGCCGCTGGTGGTGGCCAGAAATCTTGGCCTTCCTAAGCATGTAGCTGCATCACTGCCATCTTTGCCTGTGTCACATGGCCCTATCCAGGTGTTCTCTCTCTCTCTCTCTCTCTCTCTCTCTCTCTCTCTCTCTCTCTCTCTTTTTATTGAGACAGAGTCTTACTCTGTTGCTCAGACTGGAGTGCAATGGCATGATCTCAGCTCACTGCAACCTCTGCCTCCTGGGTCTAAGTGATTCTATTGTCTCATCCTCCAGAGTAGCTGGGATTACAGGTGCCCACAGACATGCCCAGTTAATTTCTGTATCTTTAGTAGAGACAGGGTTTCACCAGGCTGATCTCAAACTCCTGACCTCAGGTGATCTGCCCACCTCGGCCTCTCAAAGTGCTGGGATTACAGACGAGTGACACTGCACTCAGCTGTGTTCTCCTCTTATAAGGACAGCAGTCATATTAGATGAGGACCCACACTAACGAACTCACTTTAACCTGATCACATCTGCAAAGACCCCATTTCCAATTAAGATCACATTCCAAGTCCTGACGTGAGGACTTTCACATATCTTTTGCAGGGGACACAATTCAACCCCTAACATCATCTCTCCAGCCAGCCAACCAACAAACTCACTCTCCAGACTCCTAGGCACATGCTGCTCACCTCCCATTAATCCAGCCACCCACTCAGTCTTCCATCCACCCATCCGCCAGCCCACACGTCCCTGTTTCACCATACATCTGTTCCGCCTTCTACTCACCCACTCCCATCCTCCCATCCACCTGCTCATCTTCCCATTTGTCCATCCATTTCCCATCCACAAAGTAATTTATGCCACAGACGTTTATGGAGTCTTCTCCGGTACCAGACACAGTGCTAGGAGTCCCAGAATGAATGAGGGACATGAATCCTATCCCTAGAAACTTCTCAGCAGGGTGGTGGATGGGAAGGAGTGGCCAGTGCCAAGGCATTTCAAGAAGAAAGAAGCTTCTTTCCCTCAAGGGTGATGGTGATGGGATGACCTGTCAATGGCCAGTCCTCTCTGGTTCATTCAGCTGAAATGGCATACTGGGCTGAGGGTCTCTCCAGATCACTTCCCAGTAGGGCATCCTGTCTGGGGATTATCCAGCCTCTGCGACAAGGAGCTGCCCCTGTGAGCAGCCCTGGGGAAACTGAGACAACATAGACCTGGCTGGGGCCTCAGCACAGATCCGGCTTTCTTCTCCCTCTCACAGTCTCCACCGTGTACACTTATATGCTCAACCACTGTGGGGGCGCCGAGAGTGACCTGACTGTCAACTGCCTGGCACCCAGCCACCAGGCCTCCCCACTGGCCCTCACTTTTGAAGTTATGGGATGCTTCTGTGTGCACAGTGCTGTGACTGCGGCCTGCTCTGTGGACTGATGGTTGTGCACAGGGCGGCATGGACAGGATGGGCTGCTGATGGCAGCTCTGTCATTAGCTGTTGTGCCCACTGTGCTCAGGGTTGGGAGATTAGAGATCTCATTTCGGGCTAACTGCGGGCTTTGTTCAGGTGGCGCTACTGGAGCTCCCAGTACTCAGTGATTGCATCTTTGCATCTGTTCACACTGCTGCATTTTGGAGTGGCTGCAGTGTGGGCATGCTCAGCTCGGTTGCCCAGAACAGAGCGTGCCAACGATAAGCCGCGGCTCCCACTCAGAGCAGTCAGCTCCTTTCTGCCACTGACATCCTTGCTGGGATGGCTTCTCAACTTGTATGACTCCCTAGTCTGAGGCTTTAGCAGGCCCTTGGAAGATGTCAGACTCAGGACCCACGCTGATGCCTAATTGCCGTCTGCAGTTGCTCAATGTCTGCTTCCATGCCCTCAGTGGCGGGCAGCTCAGTACCCTCATGCCTTGTTTGCTCAACCCCAACTGTTACACAGAGACAGGACCTGCCTCCTGTCCCTTCGGCTCCCTGATCCTGTCCCTGGGTTCACACAGAAGCCAGCTGATCATTCATCCTGTAACCCATCCCCACTAGGGATGAAGAAGCAGGGAGGGAAACATTCTCTCTCTCCAGGAAGGGGCATTGCGGCCTCTGGGACGGGACTTGCATAGGGGAAGGTGCTGACTGTACAGGTCTCTGTGCTGCCCCCAGGGCAGAGTCACAGTCAGGGGTGAGGGCCCAGCTCATTCAGAAAACCTGGCATCTCCTGGTTCTTGACCTGACTCTGTGCTGCTGGCAAATGTAGTTTTCTCAATGGGACTCGGTAAGTGTCAAGCCCCAGCTTGGGTACTGGGGGAAAGAGGCAAGGGGAGAAAGGGTTCATTCATGATCAGCTCCTGACCCTCACCTTCAGCAACAGTCCTTGAGCACCGACTGTGTGTCGGGCTTGGTATGAGGCAGGGAAGACTCAGAAATGAACCAAACACAGAAGGTTCTGGCCCATGTGGAGTTTCTATCTCTGATGGGAGGAAACAGGATTTAAAAAATAAAATAAGTGGAAGGTGTAGGATGTTAGCTGGATCAAGAGGGAAAATGAAGACCAGAGGGAGTGGGATACTGGGGGGCCTTGCAGTGCTGCCGAAAACAGGGGATAGTGAGATGAGCCCTGCAACCTCGAGCCTGGTGGCAGAGATGAGGCTGAGAGCAAGAGTGAGGGGTGCTGTGGGGTGCGCAGATCTCAACCACCCCTTCCCTCCCGCCATTGGTGACATGGAGGCTGAGAGAGCCATTGGCTGAGCCAGAGTGCATGTGCTTCATGGATCCTTGAGCTCATTAATTTACTAACATCCTCGACAGTCACTGTTGAGGTTGTACTGTGCAGCAGCTCCAAGACAGCCAGAGCCGGGAGCAGTTGAAGGAGGCTGGTGGGGCTTCAGAGACTCCACAGTGGGCTATATGCAGGGACGGTTGCAGGAAGGGCCCCGTAACACCTGGAGGGGGACGTGCAAGGGGATGGGAAAGAGCGAGGTGTTAGGGAAGGCCATGCAAAGTCACTGAGCCGGGATGAGTAAGGCTTCCTGGAGGAGATGGCCAGCCTGAGCTTGGAAGGATGGGTAGGAGCTGCTGGCTACAAGGTTGTGGAGGTGAGAACCAGTGTGACATGCCCATCGCTGGTCCTCTCTGGGTCGTTCAGCTGAAATGGCATCCCTGAGCTGAGAGGAGTGATGGCCGTAAGGAGCTGGGTATCAGCTCTCAGGAGAGGGGCGACCCAGGCACAGCTCATAGCCACAGACTTAGTGAGTCTATCTAGGGAGACAGTAGAGAGGCCAAAATGAGGTCATAGGTCGCCAAAATCCTGGCCAGGCCCAACCACTATCTGGCTCAGTGACCTGCCTTCTTGAGCCTCAGTTTCCCTCATCTGTGAAATAGAATGAGGAAGATGCACCTCCCGGAACTGCAATAGTGAATTGAGTCAGAGCCTGGAGGTACTGGGAGGGCTGGGGAGTAGCCTCACTGAGCCTCAGTTTCCCTGGCTGGGGAATGAGGACCTTGCTTGTCCCCCCTCATAAGGGGAAGTTGTCAGGAAAGTTCTTTGAACGCTGAGCCATCTCCCAGTGGTGCACAATTAGCTTTCCAGAGGATTCTGGTGGATTCCTAGAGCTGAGGACTGGAGATTGGCGGTGCTGGTTGCTGGGAAGGTTTGTACTTGGTGGGTGTGGAGTTAGCGCAGTGAGTCACATCCCCCAGGACACTGCAGGTCCTGGGGACACCATTCAACAGGAGAAAACTATGATGTGGGCTTTTCTTTACTTTCAGGCTTCAAAACTGCACTATTTGAGTATTAATATGCATTGGCATTAAGTATGCAAGTATTGAATACATGTGCTCCCTACCCATACTACATCACATCACCATGAAGTCAAGAGAATGTGACGATTTACATGTGATCGAGGTGGCGTGCAAAGCAGCTGTCAGTCTTAAAAGTAATTTTAAATAATCTTTATTGATCTCTTTGTAAGATTGCAAAAAAGATACATGCTCCTGGGAACCATTCCAACGATACTGAAAAGCACAAAATAAGGTGCACAGCCCACAGCGCCCCGCTACACCCAGTGCCGATGATGCAAGCCACTGGACCACCCTGCCTTCTCACTACTCTCTGCCATATCGGCTTTGCAGGCCATGCCTGGACCTGGGCTGCCTGACCTCTGGCCTCAGGACTTGCATTTTGTTCTCAGGGAAATTGACTATGGATGGTCAGGGTCACAGAAGGCCAGGCCCATCAGCTGCCATCTCCCTGGGCACCAATTGGCCTCTGTAGCTCCCATTCCCTCCTGGGAGAGGCCCGGGATGGCTGCACACTGGTGGGGTCCCCCTTGAGCCGGGGGCCTGAGAGTCGCTGTGTGTGTATGTGTGTACGTTTGGGTGTGTGTGTGTTGGGGGAAGTGAAGTGGGGTGTCTGTCTGGCATGGGGCTGACGACGCCGTCCAGAAATGGCCCCAGCCCAGGAGTCAAGGAACCCCTTGAGGACTGGCTTGTCTTTGCCTTCATTCTCCATTGTGCTCGTGATGTCAAGAGGAAGGAGGGAGGGAGCAGCCTGGCTGGGGCCTGCCCAGGGCCCTGAGAGGTCTCTCGTCCAAGGGGTGCTCCCAATAGCCCTGTGGGGCCAGATCTTGTGGGTCTGCCCCTTCTACAGAGGAGAAAATGGGGGTTCAGAGAGGTGAGAAGTGAGACTTGTGAACCACAGAACTGCATCTGGGCCAGGCTGGCCTAGGCCTGTGTGTTCCCAAGACACTGTCCTCCCAGGGTGGGGGCATCCCTGTGAGGAGTCTGCAGAGGGGTGGGTGGTAGGGGTTGAGAAACAGGTCCTTCTCCTAAACCCCATGGCTCAGAGGATACTCTGTGCAGGTTGTGGACGTGGGGGACCGAGGGAGGGACAGGTATGATCCCTGAACAGTGTGAAGGTGCAGGCCCCTGAGAGGGCATTTCTTTTCTCAGCAGGGAGACCATTGGGCCACCCGCTCTCTCCCTGCCTCCCAGACCTTGACATCCTGCTCTAAGTCCAGGTGCTTCCCTTCGAAGGCAGTTGCCACCTGGCTGTGGGCAGGGCCGTGGCCCAGCACAATTTATCTCACATCACCACCGTGCTGCAGGACCAAAAGTTCCGGTGCCAGCTCATCGACAGCTCTGAGGACCTGAGCATGGTCAGCATCCAGGGCCCAGCCAGTTGAGAGAGGACTGGTAACCCACCCTTGGGTGCACCTGCTCCCTGGACCCAGGCCCTCCAACAGGCCCTTGGGCAGAACCACTTGTCCAGAATGGGACACTCTGAATAGTTAAGCGATCTCGTAAACCAGAGGTGCCACTCTGAATAAATAATCTTCAAAGCACTGGAATGCAGATAAGCCCGTAGCATGAGTTGGACTGAACTTTACAGCTTTTCAGTCACTGAGGACCCCAGGATCCCAGAGGGGAGGGCAGTCTGCATCACCAGTGCAGTCTAAGAACTACTGTCCACCATCCCGAAGTGGGCAGAACCAGGTTGGCCCTGCTATGTAGGCGGAATAATATCCTACCGTGAGGTGTCCCCAGCTCCTCCCTAAACACCCCCCATGATAAGGTCTCCACATGGGTTATCCATGCATTTATTCATTCTATAAGCACCTGCCAGGCTGTGTTCCTCAACCATGAGAAACCAGGACCCAGGAAGACCTTGGGATGCTGGCTCATGCACACAGGCACAGAAGGGTCTTGGGCAAAAGGACAACTGAGCAGGTTTGATTTCAGAAATACCCCTCTGACTATGCTCCGGAAAAGGGACTGGGGGTAGGAGGCAGAGGGGAAGGGCAGTCATGTTAGCAGCCACCAGTGGAGCATCTGGGACTTGCCAAACCTGAGCCAACATCTCCCGTCCCCATAGTAGCCCTTTGAGGTGGTCATGATTGTTCTTAATTTTACTGATGCAGAAACTGAGGAACAGAGAGATAGAGACACTTGCCCAAGGTCACACAGCTGGTCAATGCCAGAGCTGATGGGGATGCAGTCCCCCTTGTGCTCAGAAGCCTGCACATGGTCACTGCCATCGTTTTTCAAGAGTTAAAATCCCTATGGGAAAAGATGGCCTAGTCTAGGCCTTCCATTGTTGACCGCCCTTGGTTCAGGGGACAGGACACTCATCTCAATGTGCTTCTACCTGCTACATCTGCCCTGGGGCTGGACGGGGTGGCTCTGCTGCACTAGGCAGAAGGAAGAGGCACAAGATGAGGAAATTGCTTCTGGAGACATGGAGGGTGTCAAAGGGGAGATCTAGCTCTAGAAAATGATGGGGGCAGCTTTGGGGAGAGGATGGGAAAGGAGAGGAGAGGTGATGAGGAGTTGGGGAAGATGCATCTCCAGACTGAAGGTCGCCTAAGTGAGCACGGCTGTGTCTGGATGAGATCCTGCCCAGGCCCCACATGTAAGCACTTGCTGATCGAGCGAGTTTGCTCTTGCCTGCAGCCCTGCCATTCTGCAGGAGGGGCTGGACACACACCTGAGCAACGAGGCCTTCCCGTTCTCCACCCACAAGTTCCTGAGAGCCTCCAGGCACCTGGTAGGTTCCAGCTGGCCACGTCCTCTGGTTCATGAGTGGCAGCATGCTGTGAGGGGCATGTTGGGGGATCTGGCAGCTGGGGGTCATTGGGCAATTCCTTTACCTCCCTGGGCCTCAGTTCCCAACTGTGAAGGTGCGACAGTGGGACCAGGCAGCCCTCCCACAGACCGTTGGGAGCTTGGAGAGGTCATGGGGATCAAAGTCACAGCATCTTCCATCCCTCCCCAGTGCCTGGTGCATGCCAGAGACTCAGTCCCAGGGAAGGTGGCCTTGTCCTCACCACCTGCATTGCCACCTGTTGTATCCCCACCTGAAAGGCCCAGGGCAGCCCTCCTGAGGCCGAGTGACCCCCTGGAAACAGGAGGACCAAGCTCTGCTGAGCAGTAGCCAACTCCGGAGGTCTCTATGTGACAGCTTCCCTGCTGCCACTGTGGGTGTGGGAAGAGGGGCTGCCGGGGTGGGATCCCAGCCAGTCCCCAAAGAGCATCCCACACATTCCCCGCCAGCTTTAGAAAGTCTCTCTCCTGGGGGCCAGGGCCCACCCCTTCTGAGATGGTGGTGGTGTCTGGTGCCAGGACTCCATGCGACCCAGCCCCAGGCAGGAGCCTCCCTCAGAGACCAGGATCAGGGTCCAGGTTCTAGTTCTGAACCAGCATGTCCCTCTTCTGGGTTTAGTTTCCTTGTTGGGAAACAGGCATCTTGGTATCTGCTTTGACTTATTGAGGCTGAGTTGGGGCACGGATGGTAAACACAGCAGCCCGTTTTCTGAGGGCTTCCTGTGTGCCAGACACTGTTCCGAGAACATCACAGCACACTTCCCTATGTAATCCTCGCTGCATCACGTAAGGCTCAGTTACAGGGTCTCTTGACCTCAGCACTACTGACATTTTGGAACAGATCCTTTCTGCTCTGGGGCCCCTCCTGTGTGACACAGGTGTGTGGCAGCCTCCCTGGCTGCCGCCAGCTAGATACCAGAGGCACCCACCATAGTGAGAGCCACAAATGTGTCCGGACATGGCCAAGGGTCCACTGGGGACAGGATCACCTGTTGAGAACCTCGGTGCATGACCCTCTACTTATTTACAGGGGTGTAAGCCTTGCAGCGGCAGCGGGAGCCGGGCCTCCAGAGCCCTCCAGCGCTCATGCTGGAGGAGATGTCACCCCGAGTGGTGGATGTTGCACAGATGGAGCTCAGAGAGGCTGGATGAGCCAGGCTGCTCAGGGCCACCCAGCTAAGGAAACCCAGAAAGCCCCTGATATGTGTCAGTGACACGGATGTTGCCTTCAGGAGGGGTTGGGCATGTACACGGCCACATTTGGAGGCAACTCCCTGTCTCTCCTTCCTGTATGTTCATCTGGGGATTGAGGGGAAAATGCTAAAGAAGGTTGTGGTGGAGCGGGGTCCTGGGGGACAAATCTGGGCTCTGTTAGCAGATAAACAACGTGGCAATGACTGTCAGAGAGGAGGCGGCCAGAGACCAGGGAGATCCCAGCGGCTCTGCTCTCACCTCCCCTCTCCAGAGGCTGCACAGGGGCAGGAAGCTGGGCCAGATGTGCCTAGCTTGCCTCTTGCCTCTGTGGTGCAAAACTGCCTGCTGGGACCAGAGAGGGTGGGCACTCAGGGAGAGCAGCACAGCTTGATCCAGGCCACATGACCTTCAGACATCCCGACTCCAGCTCCAGTAGGCCAGCCATAGGGTCCACGCAGCATCCAGCTTTGTCTGCGGCTGGGCTCTGGTTTGCAGAAGGGGAGGAGAACTGAGGGTTTTCCCACCTTTGCTGAGGTCTGGCATAGGTGCCTCCTCTGTATGGTTTGGCTACGGGATGCGGAGATGACCAGGTGGGAATACGACCCCTCCCATTTGAGGCCCAGCACCCTCGCCACCCACCCGCTCGGCGACTCCAGCAAGCCACTGGGACTTGTTCTCAGACAGGCAGCTCCAGCTGCCTCTCATCCCCTGGGGCTGGCCCTTTCCTGGCCCTGGCAGCCTTCCCAAGCCTGGGCAGTGGCTGCCTGGGTCCGCCTCCACCTGTGTGGCATAGGAACCAGGCTAGGCCAGGTGCTCCCTGAGCTGACACAAAGGCCCTGCTTCCAGGATGACGTCCCCCAGAGGAAAAGGCCAGGCCAAACACAGCATGGAGGGTGTAGGGGATGCCGGGAAGGTCACTAGGGCTGCTTCTCCCCAGTGTCCTGCTCACTGGCGTAAAATCACTGGTGTTATAAAAAGCAGTTATGGCTGCATAGAATACTGCTCCTTGCTCAGTTTCCAACTGTCACTGTGCATGGGTTTCAGCACAGGGGCTGAGTGCAGACCTCGCTTCTAGCAAGCACACTTTGGGCACAACCATTGCCCCCTCAGAATAACGATACTGGTTCTATGGGCACTTCTCATAAGCTACGGCATGAAGCTTATCTGACTGGGACATGGTGGTCAGCAGCATCTCAGAGGACTGTTGGGGACATTCATAGTCTGCCAACGAGTTAGCCAAAATCCCTCTAATCCAATCCCCAGAGAAACCACAGTTGACAGTTGTGTGCATTGCTCACCATCTTCTTTCCATCATCTGTGACTATCTATGGATTTTAAAATGTCATCAGGGCATCCCATGCAATTTATTCTCCGAATGTTGTGACCCTTTTTCTGTTCCTTTGAACATTCCCCACAAACTACTTGGAACGCCCTCAGCTGGGTCACCAGTGCCCTGGGCATGGATTTCACACTGGACTCACCTCTTTGCTTTGGAAGTGGCCGTGGGAGGAACTCCCCTTGAACGCTGCCCTCCCAATAGACCCTGACTATTGGTCCGAGAGATGGTAGAGCTGGGCCCACCAGGTCAGAGGTGTGTGCGGTTCATGGTCCCAGTCTTCTCAGTCACTCTTTGGGTTGTTGTTTTCTGTCCTTTGGTATTTCTACACCCCTCGCTTGCCCAGTGCTACTCTATGTCTCAGGCAGAATAGGAGAGAAGTGCAATGCTTTCTAGGCCGGGGTCCCTGCCTGTGTGATGGGTGGGAGGGGAAACACAGGGGAGGTGGGACATGAGTCTCAGCTGGCATATGCGATCCTGGGGACACAGGAAACAGGCGGTGGGGAGGTGCTGCACGTGTAAGGAGGCTCAGATGCCAGGAAACAGGCCACATGCCGGCCATGGGGATTATCCATGGTGTACCTCCTGGCACTGTCACCTCCTGTTGGGCCACTTGGGACTCTCTGTCAAGCACTAGTGTTTTAACAAACTTAAGAATATGTTCCCAGTGCTGTGCTTCTTGCCCTCTCCCTCACCGGCACTCAAGGGGCTTTGAAGTGAACTCTGGACATGCTGCCTGGGACCCTGCGTGGTGCTGGACTGGGGTCCCAGGATGGAAGATGTGGCTCCTGCCTTCGATGGGCTCAGAACCTGAGTGAGGTTGGGGGCCAGGAAGGCACCTGCAGCCACAGCCCAGCCTGTACTGGAGAGAGGTCCTGGGAAAGGCAAGTGGTGACCACAGGCCAAAAAGTTCCTGTGGAACTGAGAGTCCCACAGAGACGCCACAGAGAACTGAGCATGGGCAAGAAACAGACAGGGTGGGGCAAGGCTCCGAGTGCTTCGGCCTCTCAGCTGGGAACAAAGTGTGACCCATGTTAGGGGGCTCTGCCCTGGGACTGACTGCCGGGGCCTGTGGACGAGCTGGGAGCCCATATCAGTGGCTCCTGCTCCACCCACTCCCCACCAGCATTCTCCCCATCCTTGCGGGCCCCATCCCAACACCTCCCGGCCCCCCATTGCAGGACTAGGGCAGCAGATGCCCCCGGTACTGAGGGCAGGCTTCCATCCCCCCACAGCCCTGGCCAGGAACTCATCACTGCCAGCAACCAGTGCCCCAGGGCCACACTCCTTAAGAAGATGGACGACCTTAGCGCACACAGATTTATTATCACCTGGGCTGAGCGGACAGTTCTGTGGAGTCACTCCCATGCTCATGTTCTCGGAGTCCATGGGGTCCATCAGGACCATGCTGAGGGTAAGCTGGGGCTACCATCTTCATCTAGAGACCCTGATGCTCAGCACTGAGCGCAGCCCCACCGGCTTCTCATCCGTCTCCCTCCTTGTCCTCCTGGCGGCTCTCTGGAGTGGCCAGTGTGGGCATGGAGGCCAGGTCTGTGTGTGTCTGGAAGACAACTGTGGTCCTCAGGGGTTTGAAATTCCTGGGTGGCTGATGGTTCCAACTCCCATGAGATAGGGCCAGGGACTCGAGGAGTGGGCACCGCCAAGGGTATGGAGGACAGAGCAGCCAGGGATCCTGCCGTCAGTGACCACTGCTTCTCTCGAGGGCCCTGGGGAGCTGTGGGTCAGGGAAGCAGAGGTTTTGGGCCCTTAGTGTCAATGTTACAGTTTTTGCTCACCTGGGAGGCTGTCCCTCAAAGTGGCCAGGGCCATGCACTCGCAGGTAGCCTCAGCCTGGGACACAGTGCCCTTCCCATTTCCTGGCCAGCAAGACGGGTGGGGATTCAGCCACTGGCCAAGGCCAACTCCCTCTGTCGGGGGTAGGGGGGTGCGCACAGGTGGGTGGGAGATGGGAGTTGAGTCAGCCACAGACACTTGGGGGGTTTGGGACAAAAGCGTCCATATTACCCCAAGGCTCAGTGGAGCTCAGGTCAGAAGCCTGGCTTCCCATCCTGCTCCATCCTTCTGTGGGATGCCTCTCTGGACCTCAGTGTCCCCACATGTAGCACAAAGTCTAGCATAATGTCAAATTTTTTCTGGGCCATTCCATAAGTTGGTCCAGACCCTCTGGATTCTCTTAATTCAGGGAGAATTTCATATTCTCCTAAATAATATCTTATGCTGGTGTAAAAATGTGTTAAGGATGTATCCCTCAACCTGAAGAAACACTGGGTTGTAGTGTGGGCCTGAACCAAATATTTATCGTTTGGGTTCCAGCCAACCAGATGCAGGAGAGAAATGTGTGTGCCTACGCAGTCAGCGGATCCTCTGGGTCATAAGCAGATGCAAGGGCTGAT